ATGAATTTGGCACGTTTCTTTGAAAGATGAAGTTGTCATGAGTTGGTTGGAAGACTCTTATACTATCCATTACTATGTTGTTCCATGTTGTTTCAAGACCTCGCTTCCAAGGATCGACCTGGTCCCTCGGGAGGCGGTGGAAGCGTGGATCAAGCATTTGCCGCTTGACCATGCTTGACCCATGGACCCCTGGTTCGCCAAGAGGAGTTGCTGCACCAATGGGGATCGAAGATGATCAACATCCCAACTACCCTCTGGTAATTTAACATAGCTATGGAAAATCACTATGATTAATGGGAAAATCCACTATAAGTGGTAATTTTCAATAGCTATGTTAAATTACCAGAGGGTATCTCCTTTGGTTTTCATATCTTAAAAAGGGGGTTTTAATGAACGGCGCCCCATGAGTGGTGAATTTTTGGGCTATGAGAGACATGAGGGACGATGACTTTGACCGGTGTGGATGAACAGGGGGTTGTTGAACCGCCCTAGAATTCAATGTTGGTTTGAAAATAGGGTACCCATGTGTCACCATGGGTACCCTAGAATCCAGTGGTTTATCATTGGTGAGTTCTATGCCAAAATTGAGGCCTTCCAATGTCATGGAAATGTTGGACCCCATCCCCCCGACATCGAGGCAACGTTCCCATCCTGCCATCGCCTTCAAAGCATGCCATGGTGGGGCCCAAAGGCCTACCCTTGGGGCGAGATGTGGGTCGAATGGGGACCCATTCGAAATGGCCTTCGAAAACGGGACGAATATAGAAAAATATGGAAAACTGAGGTTTGACGGTTTGACCGTGGGATGGAATTGGACCATGGGGTTCGGAGATGTTCCGAGCCAACTTCCATTTTTTTCTTCCCCAGATTCCCAGCGTGCAAGAGGACCTAGTGCGCTGATGATCCTGATGTGAGCTGATGATGGTTGGTACGATGAACTGCCATTTAGGCGACCATTTGACACTTCAGCATGCAGTGATGCAGTGGGAACAGTACCAGCCGCTATTGTTCATGGTGCCAGTTGTTTTACCTTTGTTGTCACTGCCTCAAAACGTTGATGATGAAACTATTCACAAAGATGCGCAATCTCGTCAAAAGATGCAACACAGCTTTTGGTACAGAATCACTGGCATTTGCATGCCTTTGCCCAGTACAACTTCAGTACTCCATGTGCTAGATAGTTCAAACCCTTTATGGGTTTCAGCATGTGTCAGCTGTGAGGGGGGGAGGGCAGGACGTGACAGAAAATTCTGGTGTGTCAGCTGTGTATGTTATTTATAAGTACAATGAAAATGAGCAGTTTTAGCACATACGATATACATAAGCTAAGTAGTTTATATAATTTTATTTTATAATATAACAAAATGTAATTTTGGGTAATATAATATAATATAATATAATATAATATTATATATATATAGTTTCAATCCGAATCGAATATATATATATATATTATTTTGATGATATATATACTATATATACATATATATAATATATGTACACATTAACTATGTCATAGATATACGTTGACAATTATGTATGTGATTATGTCTATATATAAAAAAGCTGTTTAGAGCTGATGAGTACAATCCCAGTGGTCACAGCAGACGTCCAGGGCAACCCACGCCATGACCAGTGCCAGTGGTGCGTCGGGAAACCCACGGATTTCCATAAAATATCTATCTTACCGGTAGTGATATCAAAGTCATCCTGCTTTACCAGTGATGTTCTAATGCATTGGAGGAATTGACAAAATGGAATAAGAGTCGGGACACGACCAATCATGGCAAGGATACTGTAGCGGATATCATTGTGATCTAACATAGAGGCAACGCTATGGGTTTGGATCTCCAAAAAATCATTCAGCCCAAAATAGCGATATGTTCCTGGGGCAAATTAATTTCTAATTTGGATTGGAATTGGGGCCATGTTTAGTCAAACCCAGATGCCAAGCACATCCTTTGGAAGGGCTGGTCTTCCGTCATGCAGCCTGCCTTCATAGAAATTGATTTTCTGTATGTCAATTTTAGTTTATTTTTGGCACAAGTGTTCATGCTAAGAGTGTCATGGCCATGCGCTATACAGCAGCTTGAGGTCAGATGGTTTGCTGCGCAGCACTCATGCAGTGGAGCCTTGACATTTTGGGTGAGTTGCCCCCATGGGTTCTTTCGTTTCAAACGCCATCAATGTACATACACACTACATTCTGTAACTAATTACAAGAAATTACATGAAATTACAATATCGTATGGTCTTTATTGAATATAATGTCGATTATAAGTAATTATATGTGTTTGTGAACTTTGAGTGCATTGATTTCCGTGGGCATCACCATTCAAACAGAAAACTCTAAAAGCGACACCATCCAAGTTGCTAGGCGCCACTGAGGTTGGTGCAGAAGATTTGATGCAGCTGCTGAAGAACTACTCGAGACAACATGGTACCCAGATGAAGGCTGAAATCTCCCTACCTGTTGTGGGCATTGGTCCTCTACAGCTGGCAAAAACCATCAAGAGACAGCACAGTTCTTGGTTGCACAAGGATCAAATTGGCTGATATCAGTCATCATGTTGCGGTGTAATTTGCAATGGAAGCGACCAAGAGACGTATTTGGTTCTGTCTGTGAGAAGTCGACTTGTCTTGTAGGACAAAGCAGGGAGTGGTCTTGAGTAGTTTTCAGTTGTTTGGACCTTGGACGATTTCTGACTGGTGCGTGGCATATATGTTTAACATTGTTTAACTATGTTTAACTATGTTTTGGTATATTTTAGTGATACTCCTAGGGGATTCCCCGGAGATATCTTGAATCCCCTAGGAATCCATATCCGCCGCCAGGGGCACATTTCCGTTGGCGTCGTGGGCTATCCAAACACCGGCAAGAGCTCCGTGATCAACTCGATGAAACGACACTCAGCCGTGGAGACAGGCAGTCCCGGCTAAGACATTTCTGTGCTTGTCATATCGCATACTGAACATGCGAATCCAGTAACAACAATGCATTTTCTTGGCAAAACAACACGGACTTGTTTGATCTTGTTTGTATCAGTTGTTTGTTTGTTTCATGCTGAAATGTGAAAACTTGTGTAAAACTGTAAAACTGTTTCATTTCAACTAGTTAAACAGACAAACCATGCTTCTCAGAGTAAGATTACGATTTGTAGATGATGGAGGAATGATGGTTTTCAGTGGGTTCATCTCAGCACAAAAAAAGTCTACAGGAGACATGGAGACCACGTTTTCCCACGAATCTGGTCGTTTCATAACGAATCTGTTGGTTTCATATACGGTTTCCTGTGAAATGTGCCTCGCAAAACGGTCGAAAAGTAACCTAAAAAATAGGGGGTAAACATAATAGTAAACATATAAACATCATTAACATACCATTCATTTGAACCACGTTTGGGCATTTTTTTGGAATTTCCTATGGTTTCCTGTAGAATCCACAGTGGGGACGAATGTCAGGTGGCCGCGCTGGGGTGACCAAAGTGGCCCAGGAGGCGAGACAGCCCATCCCAACTGCACCCTCCCAGTAAGATCAAAATTACCAAAACTAATATGGCTGTAACTATTGTACAATCCCAATTGATATCATGAAGAATGGAATTATGGATTGTTGTTGACCAGATGATACCAGATGTGTGTCTTTTCAAATATGTTTATCAAGTTGGTGACGGTATATGTTTTTTCTTGAAGATGAAAAGAAAACAGGAAAACATATCGACATATCGAAAATGGAAAAACATATAGAGAACGTGGATTGTGGATATTTGATGACAGCGACATTTTAACCAAGAAAGCACAGTTTGACAGTGGTTGATAGGGAGTATTCATTGACACAGCAGAAGAGGGAGCTGGTGAAATACCACCAGATGGGGATGTTAATTCCAACAGAATTCTGGTTGGTGGTTTCATATCAATCTGCCAAGGAGAATATCTGTAACAACGATCGCATCTGAAAAATTGACGGGATGTTACAATAGGAGTGGAGCTAGAAGCACTACATGAAACTGACTAATTAGACATGGCTAGTTTTGAGTTACTGTACACTGTATAAATCTGTATAATGTGGGTAAAACAATGATAAACCCCAGTCATCACCATTTTTTGGTTGGTGCTATGTTTACCATTCCCAAATGGCTGGTAAAAATGGCATTGTTTTACCCACATTAACTTCTACATCTTTCGACTCTGTGGCCATTTTTTTTGAGGTTCAACTGGACTCCAAGGCGCAGGGGTGGATTGCGGTGATCAGCTGGGGGTTGTCTCAAAGGTTGATCAAGCTTGTCTGATTGATAGAAGACATGGGAAACATATGAGAAACCATACCCAATCATACCATGTTTCATATGCCATTAAGAATTGAGACTTGTTTTTTCATCCGGTGTACCACAATGTATGTGTTCTCACCATGCTTCCAAGTTCCCGAAGCCATCAGCGCCAGCGCCGTTTCAGGTGACGTTGATCGATTCGCCAGGGGTGGTCTTTGAGGGAAGCTCCAATGATCCTTCTGTGGCGGGGAAGCCAAGTGGAGAGGACTGGGATGGACTCGGTAAACCTTGGTGAAAATGAGTAGCTGGGTCCTACCATTTGTTCACCGAATAATTTGCTGATTCAATTACAGTATATTACAGTATTCATTTGGTCATTTGGAATAATGTTCATGTGGATATCTATGGATCATGGATATTTGCAATACCTCAGGGCTGCACACAAAGATTATATAAATATGCGGTATTCTGGCCCTGCCTGATCAATGTCAGCGCTATTTCTATGACTTGTTGATTCATGTCAGGTGCTTCGGAACGTTGTCCGAGTACGGCTGCTGAGACGGGTTTGGGGACACTTAATGATTGGAATGTACTGCAGGACATTATGTCATATGGATTTTGTTTTTGAAAGGTGTGTATCCCATTGTATCCCCAAATTTGATGATCAGATGATTCAACATTAACCCTTCCCCAATGTTCAAGGAGGGCAATTTTAAGAGATATCCCCCATGGGTCCATTGCCCCACAAATTGTTCGTCAGGTGGAGTCGGTGGTGGATCCGGTGGCCGTGGTGGAAGCCTTGGCCGCCAAGGCTCCCCGTGAGGCGTGAAGGACGCATCGTGTCAGTTCGTGTCATGACGTGTGTTTCACGCCTAAAAAATCCTAAAAATCTTCAAATGTCAATGATAGATGATGATTGGTTGATGATTATAGAAGGTTGTAGAATCCTTTTGAATCCTTTTGATCTATATTAACCTTCTATAATCATCAACCAACCATCTATATTCTTATATATTATTATATAATATTAATCTATTGGAGATGACCACTCACTTGGAATCCTCGTGACCCACCTTTTTTCAGACTGACAAAGATTGGAATCATGGGAACCATCTTAGAATTTCTCTCGTTTTCCCGTTGATTTCGTCGTGGATTTTGGGATCATTTCCCCTACAAGAGGTACTTCAGGATGATTATATAATATTATATAATAATTATATACTATCATTTGCGCAGATAGAAAAACGGAAATTTATACAAATGGATGAGGTAATTGTCATGTCATGTCAGCAAAAAGGCGGAGTCGCACGTGATATGAAGATCTTGGATGCCGGTTGGCTAGTTTCGCACTTCAATCTTGTGCACTAAGTGGGGAACAGATGATACCCAGTCAAAAAACATGTGTTGAAGACTAGCCAACTGTGCTTGATGGTAATGAATGTTGGTTGGGATATATACTGGTTGCTATGATCATGCCGGTAGTCTGATATATATATATATATATATTAGTGTGTGTGTGTGTGCGCGCACTACATTTACTGTAGTTTGGGTTCATGATCTGGCAGTTTGAAGATGTTGGACATATATCCATTTTGCAGTTGTGAGTGTGTCGTGGAACAGACTCACTCCCAGAGTCCCTGCAGTGTGCCAAGGTTATTCTTGTCCTGCCGCCGGCATGGCTTACAGGAGACGTTTCACTCACATTTAGATCACAAACATCCACTTGGACGAACGGCCTTGAAGTGATTCCAGCCCAAGCCAGGGTGTGAATCCACAATTGGCTGGGCCTGTGGGTCATGGCACAGTATGCAACAAAGCAACGACTGTGTATCTCAAAACAGTGGCCAATGCTCCGCAGAAAAAAAATGCTTGGTCTTGTGCTTGAAAAACCGCGTTCCAACAATGAACCAGAAGGCTTGTGAGTTGAGGGCTGGGTTGATCAGCTTAGATAACCAACCACTCATGAAACAGTCATTCAAGGGACCGAAGTTTGAAGCACATCGCATGGCATGTGCTTTTGGCCCTCCCCTTGCCGCAGGGTCGCCAAGGCCCTGAATGGGTGATGCGATGGATTTTACTTGTCATTTAATGATCAGTTGTATACTGTATATTTGTCTATATTTTGTCCATCATATGGTGTTGTTTTTATTTTAGATGTCTCATGATGTCGCTTGCCTCTGAGCTAATGACAATACTGAATCATGAAAGATGTTTTTTCTAGCTCGGATAATTAAAAAAACTCAGCGATAATGATCTGTATCATGATAATCAAACAATGATAGTGTCACTCAAAATTTGTATCCCCCATTCTTTCATCCGATCCAGACCTGGGCGCGTCACTTGACGTAGGCATGGGCCAGGGCACTCAGAGAGACGAGGTGCGCGGTGATGGAAAGATGACCCCTGCCCAGCAAGATGAGAACATGGCTGATTTTAGATGATTTTAGCCCATTTTGGGGGGGATTTATTGTAACTGTTGTAACTGACCAAAATTGGGCATCCATCCATCATAAGTACTGATGTAACCACTGACTGGATGGATCGGGGCTTTTTACCAGGAACAAATGGGAAAATCATGAGAGAATTATGGGAGTAGCATGTCTCAAAATTGGAATACTCCCAACAAAATGCTATATTGAAACCTTTGGAAAAGATGGAAAAAACTCATACTGAACCATGGGATGGATTGTCATGTACCCCCCCCATCCACCATCATCATAACAGCTATAGCACATCCCCAGGCGCCTGAAGTTCTGTGCCAGCGCCATGCTCTCAGGGCTGGGCACTGTATGGCACGGTTAGAAAGAGTGTATGACAACTCTTCGATGTCTAAAGGGAGCACCCCAAAATCCCAAGTTGGTTCTTTTTCGCATTTGGAAAGCTCTAGTTTTGTTTTTTTTGGGGGGTGGCCCAATTTTGAGGAACACCTATTTTTTTTGGCGCATGGGATATAGAATGATATAGAATGATGTTGCTCACTTTGCGACGAAGCCATGCTACCTCCAATGGTGCCGCATAGTCCTGATAGTCCCTTAGTTCATTTTTCTCAGGCGCGATGCAGGGATACGCCCAAGAGGAGAGGTGTTTCTGACGATGCCAACAATCCTTGGGTTGAAGAACGTTGAATCCGGAAACCATGGGTTTGACACGTAATGATGGGTGTTTTTCTGCGGAAATTTCCCTGTTCAATTCATTCCATTCGTCATGTTTATCGAATTCTGGGAAACAATGCAGTTCCAGATTTGATGGGGAAAAATGATGTAAAATGCTTGAAACCCATCAGATTGCTGATTTGATATTACATGTTTCCTTGACAATGTTCCTAAATCATTCCAAAGTCCAGATATGACCAGATGTATCGAAACCTTTCGAAACCTGGGTACCCTGGTCTTCACATGTTTTCACCCAGCTGATGAGTTTTGATACGTGGCTGTTCATGATATGGGTCCACATCATGGCACGACCGATACCATCCGATACCCGCAGCCAGGAGGGAGGAGAAGCCAGGCAGATTCAATTCCATGGGCATTGACAAGAAACATCGTGGGAATGTGTTAAATCCATTTAAATCCAATAAGAAAAATAGAAATACGATCAAATACGAGCCTGCAACAAAGATCAACAATAGGGTTTGACATAGTTTGACCTTACAATAATCCTGTAAAATCCTGTAAACATGTATATTCATGTATAACTGTATAACATTAAAATATTCATAACAGATCACAGAGCATCCCCAATGACCAGAAATTGCTGAGATTCCATCCCCGCGGAGATTGGCAGCTTTGGCAGCTCCTCTTGCGACGCAGGTCCAACATTTGCGGCGAAGATTGTGAAGGCCGTGGAGTTTGCTGCTTTGCACCAGTTCTTCCGGAGTTTTCTGATAGAAAACTGTGGAAACTGTCAATCATGTCAACACCGGATTAAGATGGATTAAGGATATATCCTGATTAAGATGATTGAGAGACCCAGGGATTTGTTTCCAAAAACAAAAACGGCTATGATGTGTTTCAAAATGCGTCAAAAGGGTGGGCCCTGATCAAGACAGTCAAAAGCAGATCTTGTGCCGCAATCTCCAACCTGTCTCAGTTCAGCGTGGCGCAGAAGCTATGAGGAACGGAGCTCAGCCAGAGCCTGAAAGGGTCGAGTATTTCCGGTGGATGATAATTCAAGTCGGGCTATATGATGCTATATGCCTCAAGAAATTCATGTTTTGTGTTTTGGGGATTTTTGGGGCTTGCCACGAGGGACTCAATGGGGCAATGTCACTTTTTTATCGATTCTTGGGACACCTGTGATTCCCGTTCCCATCTATTGGCGTTCAAATCCCCACCCCCTTGGGCACCTTTTTAGGGGGAGGGGGTCAAAAAATGTAAGTTACAAAAAATTGGGGGGGACCCCCCCGTCAAAAAATGTAACTTACATTTTCGCGACCCCTAACTTACATTTTTTGACCCCCCCCTCCCCCCAATGAAAAAATTAAAAATTA